CTTCCTTTTTATCTATTTCTTACTTTTTTCTGTTATTGAAATTTTAAACAAACTGCTAACTATATTTCAAGTCTGACCTTTTTGTACTTGTCAATATCAATACACTCCAGCTGACTGAGCCTGACAAGATTAGTCCCGACCAAAATCCGGAGTTCCCGTCTCTCCTGTTCACGCTTGGTACGATCTCGTGTGTGACCCTGATGCTGCATGCGAACCCACAGCTTGTTCATCTCTGAGAAGTTCAGCAGGATAAAGTCAATAGAATCGTTCACAGTTCCATACTCATAGTCATTTCTACAATAAAATATTGGCGTTAACAACATCATTAATTAGCAGATTTTCAATTATACCAGGAGCTAAGTTCATTATTCCTCTTTCTTACGTGGCTTGTTCCTCCTCTGTGTCAGGAAGCACATTCTTGGTACAGGTCAGGAGGTAATTCCTCAGAAAGAGGCCCCTCAAGGGGTGCTGTACCCCTCTGCACATTTCCACCAGATCTTTCAGGATGTCTTTACGAGAGAGTTCATTAGATTTAATGTACACCACTCCAACAGTGATCAACAGGTAACTGGAAAATAGTCATTTAAAACAGATGTACGTTACATGTAAATGTGAAAGCACATATTCTATAGCCTTTGTCTTATAACATTCTTAAGAATATAGATTGTGTGGGAATATCTTTTGTTAATAATTAAACCCTTCAATTACCAGGGGTATCTTTTATTTTTTCATTCTAAATTAAGAGTGTTTTCACTTTTCAGTAAGAAATACTTACAGCCTAGGGACAATGTTTCCTGCATACTGCACAAGTTCATACAGATCTGCTACTTTTCTTCCTTTTTGGAATTCATCACAGAGATACAGCTCTAAGTGTCTCAGTTCATCAGATATAGCCATGTCTTCCCAACGTTTAAGAACTTTACTTTACACAAGTCTTTTTTTCATAATTATACGAGGGTTGTCCCAAAAAAGTCGTAGACAGGGAACATAATTTATTTTCTCTTTGCTAAATCAAATTTCTTTTCTTGTCATAGCAAAGAGTAACATTTTATGATCATGCATTTCAAGTTTCATGACGATACATGTACCACATTTAATAAGAAAACTATGAAAAAATAAAGAAACCATGTAAGTGTACATCGGCGCACAAAAGCAAGTGTAATTTATGTCTCTCATAACGGCATGGTCCCTTTTTCTGCTTCACATGAGGCTATTAACATCCAAATGAATAATTTTTATAGTGAAAAACCACTCTTGACTTAGGGACTAATTTAAATTCACTACTGTCCGTTTACTTATGCAGATTCAAATTTTAGTCAAAATTAAATTAGTTGAAAAATCATCCTACATTTTAGGATTTTAGGAAGCAGAGAATTAGGGATGGGTATCGCCCAAAATTTTGTATCGCAATATATCATGATTTTTTCCCACAATATCACGATAATATCATGATATTTTTAAAAGCAGTTTTTACAATGATTTTATATGAAAAGTCATTATTTTTTTAAAAAAATATGCTAGAGAAACAAAATTTTACTTTCTTGAAATTTTTATGTATGTAAAATCATTTATGTTTGGATGGTAAGATGCTGTTCTTTCCACTTCTTACAACATTTTTTATACTTTCTGTAATTGTAATTTGAAAGATTGAACAAATAAATGAATAATTTCTGGACTTTATAATATGTTCCTAAAGACCGGTATTTAGGTCTCCGTATCACGATACGTATCACACAATAAAAAATCGCGATATACCGGTATACTGATAAAATCGCACATCCCTACAGAGAATACACCTTGTTTGACGACGTTCATGGCCCGTTCCCAAATGTCTGCATTAAACAATCAGTGCTCTACTTTACATGCAATAACTATTTTTTTCGATATAGAGGGAATTAAAACTATCTTTGAATCTCGTGCTATTAAAAAACAACTTTTCTATTAATTTAAAGTGTGTAATGCCCTTTCTGTACTCTTTTTCCTCGTCTCTGATGAATATAAAACATACCAAACACAATTTATTACATTTCCGTGCGCCGGGTACGCGTTCGACGACGTCATTTTCATCAATCTCAATTCGAACAACACTTTGAAAATCATGACACTAGTCGTCTGTTTCTAATGCGATTTATATGAAATTTTGACGTATTATTAAGGTTTCGATTCTGGTTTCAGTGATTTAAATTTTAGTTCAATCTTTTACATAGTACCAAAGAAATAAAAACAAATGTAATAGTTATATGCGTAAATTATTCCGAATTTTGGCCGACAGACCATATCGGCCTTCATATAATTGTCCCAATATAATTAATATGAAAGATATATATTTAAGAATTCATAATTTTAAAGAACATTGGATGTATTATGTCTATGCAAAATTTGGTTAGTATTGGTTGCGTGTTAACAAAGTTATTAACATTGTCTATGACTTTTTGGGACAACCCTCGTACAGTAAGCTTAAAGTATGCAATCACTAACATTTTTTGCAAACACACATGTGTTAACTATTAAGTAGCCATTGGAAATAATGCTCTAAAACTAAATTCATGACAGTACATTTAGACATTTTTATGTGACAGAAAGAAAAACTACATATGCAATTTATATAACTCTTTAGATGGTGTAAGCTAAAAACTACTTAACCTACAATGATACATGTAATATACTTTCAATCTTTGAACACAATATTAATAACAAGGATACACAGTTCATAGTAGCTCTTGGGAGATAAGAGTGAAGTTCTGAGTTCTCCTAACATTGTAGATGCATGTTTTAGTCCATCCATTAACTTTCCTTTGTCCTGCAAATAAGAACAACTGATTACATGACAGCCTTCAATTACAAACATTTATTGAGAAAATGGGAACCAAATCTATCATAAAGCCCTGAGAAACCTGTTTTTACTCAGTGAAAGTTAAATAACGATATCTTACTTCTTAAATATTTCAACAAAATTCAATTTTTATTATTCAGTTTTTATCCATTCAGTGTTGCCTTTTAAAACAAGGTAGAGTCTTCTATTATGAGAAAATGCATGAATATTTCATGATTTCTAAAAATGTAAGTCACAGTTCAGATTTTTGTTTTTAATGTAGTAAAGACTGTCCTCCTCAACATAAAAACCTTTCTGTATTATTCTTACCAGACATCTCTTCATCTGGAATGACTGGTTCTTCACTATACTGATTCCCTCCTCCAACAATTTCTCTTGCTCCTCCTGGGGAGACAACTGCGGGGTGGAAGGCTGAAAAAAAGTCAATGTAGAATTTGCACTCTCATTTCTTTCGAAAGTTTAAAAAACAGTATTTATCCAATGTGTGCCATATCTTACTCTTTGTCAAAAAATTAAAATGATCCTTCACATTTACACAGTCACAGATGAAATTTTTTTAGGGAGAGGGCTAAAATAGGCTTTGCCTGCTGCCCGATCCCATTCACTTTGTGTGAATAAAATTTTGTATAAATGATTTTTTTTTTAATTTACAAGAAAAGAAAATTCTTATCCAAATACATATACTATTATCAATTTAGAGAGTTAAGAATGTTGATATACATGTCTCAGATAAATTTTAATTGAGAGCCAAAAAAAAAAAAACAAGAAGCATGTTGAATTTTTTCCTTTGTATTGATTATTAAATGGTAATGGGTGGTTATGATCCAATATATGTGGTAATTGTGGTTACAATCTGAGTAGCCATTGCAGGTGCTGTCAGACAAAATATCTAGTGAGCTGAAGTTCCACCAAGATTTTATATAGAGCAAACAATTATTAGCATTATATTTGACAGCCCTCTTTCACTTGGATTTTCAAAAGTTAAAAAAATCAATTGCATTTATATACTATAGAAATATACTACTATATAGGTCCCTGATTGCATCAAATTTTTTTATCTTGCAGTGTTCATAAACAATTTTTTTTCTGAATTTCAAACTGTGCACAAAAAAATTTGTATAAATATCATATAACAGCTGCTGTTTTCACTTGCAAGCACTCAATGTTTTCCATCCCCCCCCCCCCCCCGCCCCATTTTTACACATTTTCTTCTCGCTTCATTATTTTCCATCGTGTCGACATTCAAACCTCGCTGCATAGGTCATTGTACAATGCATAAACATTATATCTAGTCGACAAGTGTGCACTGTATCTGTCCTCATTTATTTTGACACACTGCCACCGGAGGAAGAGCTGTTCACGGACGAATATCATTTATGATTTAACGATTTAAAGTTCTTTTAAATTGATCACTAAGGATAAACATTGTTGATTAAATTTACCATGTTTTTTTTCAGCGTCTGGTTGAATGAAATTGCAAAAATTCAGGTTTCTTCTTCCTCGGAGTCAAACACCCACCATGTTTTGGTCATGTGACCCACGCATAGTAAAAACAAAATATAAATGTTAGCCATTTATTCCCGGATAAATGAAAGATAAAAATGCATATTAGTTTTTTTTTTTGTTTCTTTGTTTTTTTTTAACAAAAACCAAACCTTGCGGTACATGTTTTTAAAAATGAAACGTTCATATAATTCATAGGCGTCGGGGGGGGGGGGGGGGGGGGGTTAGTTAAACAACAGTTAAACAAGTTAAGCCAAACAACTTTTTTTTGCAAATATAGACAACTTCTATGCATTGAAAATTGGGGTTTACCTTTTTTTGTTGGTTTAGTCCACCCCCCCCCCCACTTTCAATTAGCCCCCCTCACTTTAAATTTGCTTCCGACGCCCATGTAATGTTATTTTTTTAAATTTATCTCATGAAATTTAAGACAAATAAAGCTATCATTATGTACCATGTGTTTGCAAGCGCACTCTTTACCGACAGAGATAAAACACTATTCTGTATCGAATCCAAAACTGAAACAAGTTTTTATATTTTTTTATTATTACTAGTATCATTCTAACCTCATTGTTACGTAAAAGAATTATGACGTCACAATAAATATAACATCATAGTTTTGAAAAAAGATTTTGTCAAAATAGGCATATATCATGATTGTTATTGTGTATCTAGCTTTTCAGACTGCTCAATTGACCTGTAGATGGATGTCTTCAAAGATGGAAGGTACCTACAACTGTCTTAATTGTTACTGAAATAGCCATTTTAAGTTTCTTGATAGTCAGATACGAAATTCTCATAATATAATTGAATTAAATTATTCTAACTAAATACAAAGTTTTTAAAAAATACTTTTTGGCAAAACAGTGTTCGATTTCTTTTACACGCAAAAATCGATTGTTGAATGATTGACAACTGATAATTGTTGTTTTACGTCAAGTCGGCAATATTTCAACCACGTTTTGTCGGTTATAAAAAACCTTTTTAAATTATATATTCTCTATTGAATTACAATTTCTTTTTAGAGGTCAGAAACAGAATTCACCCTGCAGGTAGAAGACACCGACGCAGTACCAGTGAAACCCTCTGCCTGTACTTTGGGATATTGCTATTGTAAGTTAGATCTGTATGTAAATTTCTAGGACTGTGCATTGGGCAAAAAAAATTCGATACGATACGATATTTTATAATGCGATATCCGATATATTGGATTCTTTAATAAGTATATCAAACAAGCTAATTCAGAGAATTTGTGTCCCCCGCTTAGGGAAAAAGTCAGCTCCCCCTGACTGAATTTGTAGAATTATTAAATGTATACATGTATACTGAAGGAAATAAAATACATGTATGTCAATATGCATATAAAGATTTGATTGCTTATTCTTTATTATGTGTATAGAAGATTTTTTCATATGGAATATTTATCACACTGTAATGATGATTTTATAACCTCATAAATTTTTCATTTCACATGCTGAATACTATCATTTAGTAAAAAAAAAAAGTGTTTAAAAAAAAAAAAAAGAACGATCCGACCGAGATTCGATTCCGGGACCTCTCACATTTGAAGCGAGAGACATAACCACTAGACCACGGAGTCGCTTTACACGGAGTGAAGTACAGAACTGAAGTCACATACATGTATATATTCATGTTTTCATGTTCGGTATTCTCAAAATTTTACACAATCCATGGTGTTTGATTTATTTAGCCTTTATTAAACAGTTTTAATAGATGTAATAAGAACATAAAGTCCGCCGAGAACCTGTTTTATACGCAATAACTCTCCTCATGCTCCTGCGCTAAAAATAGCGACATGTAATACTATAAATACTAATAAAACAAACGGGGCGGGGCACTTTGAGAGGGGCGAGAGACGTCCTAGGGAGTTTTGGTATAAAATTACATTGCATCAGCTCAAAATCTTCTTGAAATATCGCCCGGAAATGATAGTGTTACACACAGACAGAATGTATAAATTTACGACCTTGAACTTTGACCTTTTGACCTCAAAATCAATAGGGGTCTTCTTTAGGCCACAGGGAGTTGTTATGTAAAATTTCATTGCAATAGCTCAAATGGTTCTAGAGATATCGTGTGGAAACGAAAGTGTTTTAACAGACAGAATTTGCTTATTTATGACCTTGACCTTTGACCTTTTGACCTCAAAATCAATAGGGGTCTTCTTTAGTCCATAGGGAGTTGCTATACTAAATTTCATTGCAAAAGCTCAAAGGGTTCTCGAGATATCGTGTGGAAACGAAAGCGTTACAGACGGACGGACGGACGGACAAACCCAAATTAATATCCCCCACTTTTCAAGCGGGGGACAAAAAGTCCTATGATTCATTTAAGGTAGGACAAAACACCCGTGGATTCTATTTTAACCCATTTCTTAAAAAGTACCGGAGAAAAGAAGAATAATATTACTATATTGACAACAATGAATGATCCCTGTAAGAAAAATAATAAGTTTTGGCATGTTTGCGTCATATTTTGTGAAAAAATCAGAGAATCCTATATATTGGTCACTTCGGGGCTTACATTTTTTAATGTTTTTATGCTATTTATGTAATAAACAAGCATGTGACAGTCTGTTATAAAATGCAGTGTAACTTTTGTTCCATACATAGTACAGGAGTGATATTTGGACACCTATATAAGGAGTCTCCATTCTTTATGTAATACTAAGGTCAAGGTCATATCAAGAGGTCAAAGTTCAAATATTGTGACGTCATCTACTGAATCTTTTTTTTTTGTCATTGAAATTTTTTTGATCGCAAAAATATCTGAAACCACCGATTCAATTTTCTTTATTTTTACACATTTTATTCTAGGACCCATTTGAATCATTCTGTTGATTTTTTGTAAAAATTGAATTATACATTTTCTCTTAAGAAAACTTAAACTGTCAGATATTGACATGTAAATTTTCAATTCCAACGCTACTTATGTCCTATTTTTACTTAATATTTTACTCAAATTTTCCAGTATCAAGTTGACATACTTATTTAAAGCAACAAAAAAGTTATCTTTATTAAAAGTATTACACAAATTTGCAAAAGACCAATTGAAAATTCTAAAATAAGGCTCATTCTCAGGTATAATGTCTGATTTCACAATCTTCTTACAGGGATCTGATAGGCCATATTTCAGACTATGTGGGCAAAACATGTGCGGTTGAATTTCTTTCATATCATACATAAAGAGAGATTTTGTATCCTAAAACAAAATAGCAAAGTTTCAGGAAAATTGAATTTGAGGAAAAATTTGGCCTACATATTGTGTCCTACCTTAATGCATGAATTTTATAAAAACTAATTGATTTAAAACCCATTTCGAAGTTTTCGTCTCACTGTCATTACAATTAAATTCAAATTCAAACTTTTAAGGACTGTGAAAATAAAGTTAAATAAAGTTGTCTATGTATTTTGTAAAATTTATCTAAGACGTGCTATCTCCTTAATGATAAAATCATTATTGATCAATTCTAATGCAAAACAGTGAAAAAATACACTTTTTTTGGTGAATTAAATTTTCAATTTTTTTTCACAGAAATACAAGAAAATCTGCATATCCAATAAGTATTGGAAGTTATTTTTTCGATACGATACATACTTTAATATTGATACGTATTGAATACATGCACATGTATTCTTTATTTTGATACAGTCCTATAAATTTCCAATCAATTTACGGTGCTGTGCCTATTATCTATACGAAGAGCAATGAATACGAGTGTCATTTTCTACTGAAATTCTGAATATTTGTGGGAGTGAATAAAAAAAATTAGAGCATGATAGACAACTTTTATTGATTTTTATAACCCGGTATTAAAATGCAAAATTTAGAACACGAAATTTGCAACTTTACGAAATTGAAAAATTCCGTTAATGCAGGGCTCCGTGAATATTGTTAGAACAACCATTTATCCCTGAATTTACAATAATTCTTTTAAACATTTTTCTAAGAATTTTTCTAGGACTTTCTGCACGTTTATGTCGTTAATTTTGGAACCAACTTTTCTGTTCGCATGACTATCTTCATATAATTCACTAATGTTTGTCGAACTTAACTTCTTTCAATTAGAATAAGATACCATCAAGAAATATATCCCTGTATTTCAATACATTTCTGGTTTAAAAGATTCTTTAAAAATTGGAAAACTGGTCATTTTTAATGACTAGCATGGATGAACATGAATATCTCGTATAGTCGAAATCAAAATTTCAATAGTGTTAACTGTTTTGTTGTAAATTGAACGACAAATAAATTTATGACATGTCATCAGATGAATAAATGAACTAATGTTAATTTAAGACATCAATTTTAATTTTTGAAAATGCATGCGATGGAATGAGTCACAAAAATCTGATATGCCTGCGTGATTACTGAAGCGTCGTAATTTGTCCTGCAGTATTTTTGAAAATTCAGCTCATTCTTTCTTAACTATACATTTTAAATTTTGACTTTGATAAAGTAATCTTAAAGAGATTAATTCTACTCATGCAATAATAATCTTCAATATATATATATATATATTGTTTCAGTGAAAGCCTGGTATATGCAGATCTTTACGTACTGCCGAGGAATCTCATCGCGAAACAAAGAACTCGTGGAGGGTAGTTCTTTGCACTGAATCATTCACCCATCCCTGAACAGATGAATCGCCAACGTTTGCATCGGACTGCGATCGCAACACTCAACTACACGTAGTTACTTAATTCTCAGAATATGCCATGTGGTCCCAACCTTACGAAATGTATAGCATATACATGTACAGGGACTGTCCCTCCACCAGGAGTACAGTGTACATGCTTTATAATTCGATTTCATTGTAATTTCCAAATAAATGAATGAAAAAATATGAATAAAATGAAAGAAAAAAATAAATGCCACTTTTTTTTCATATTAAATGAAGTTTATAATCAAATCAGTAAAAGGTGTTAAACACATTTAAGAACGAGCCACAGTGGATAAAAATGTTTGGTGCTTTGAAATCTAAATATAAACCCTTCTTGCTTTGAAGATACTTTATGATTCCTCCCATCAAAGTTTGATTCTGGACAAAAAAAAAAACCAGACCAACCATTACCGAATATAGTCCTTTAGATGGAAGATATCCAAAATGTATTTAAAAATAAATTTTAGTACAATATGCTTATATAATCTCTGTCCATTAATGGCACTCGTAATTGCTTTATTTTCAAAGATACTTAAAATTATACTGAGGATTCAATATCAATAGATTTCTCTGAAATTTTGAAAATGAAAAAAAAATCCGATGAAGGAGCGTGCAAACGCTGGCGCCGTGCACCTCAGAGAAGCGAGACGGACCTAGGGTTTCCGACGATGGGCGCCGCAAGGAATTGTTACAAATCTCAGCAAAAGACGTTGAACTACAACATTTAGTGGAACGTAGCGGGAACGATAACTCTGGGTAGAGATTGACATTGTTACGTCAACTAATGTGACGTCATAATGTTGCTTTTGTTGTCTAACAACCGTGTTTATAGATTGAAGACCAACATGATCACCACCATGCATTTAGTTTTTCAGTCTGCTCAAAGGCATACAGATGGGTATATACTATCATCGAAATTCAAGGTACTGTATTTGTATTTTTCTAAGATTTGGTTTATGTAACATTTCTTTTTATACATTTAAAAAGAATCCGTGCATAGGACTTCAAATTCTTATGCTATCTATAGATGGGTCGTTTTAACCCTTTCGACGCCAAGGCGACAAAAATGTTTACCGTGTCAACGCCAAACCGACAAAAATGTCGCTTTGTAATACATGTTGAACTTTTTCGTTTATTTATCATTTATCTCAGTTTAAATTAGATACAGTAATATCTAAATTTCGACACAAGTATGGGCCTTTATTTTCAAATTGGTACTGGTCTAATTTATGACGTCATATTTCTTTACATTGACGTTAAATTATGACGTAGGTTTAGGAGTACGCTAGCGTTGTAAAATTTGGCGCGCCATAGCATAAGTTTTTTTTAATGATCCATAGTCCTCGGGCAGTTTACACTTATTTCCCCTGGCGATACTTACATGCATATACATGTGTAAATATTTTATCGATTGATCGATTGAGAGAGAGAGAGAGAGAGAGAGATCTGTGAATATACATCGTTTTTATATAATGTATTTATAATTAAAAAAATAAGATTTGTTAGAATAAATTAAAACAATAGATTAAATACATTTAAAAACAGTAGTCACTGATATTAATGTTGAAATCTCCCGATAAAAAGTCACTTTGACATTGTATTGAACTTGCAACAATTTATAGAAATAAAATACAGCTAGATACACGCAGTATTTATTTATTTATTTTTGAGCATTATACCGACAATGATTTTATGCTTAAAATATGTATAAAAAAAAAAAAAAAAAAAAAAAACAATAGACTAGGCTGAAAAGACAATATGATCTATTGATATTCCACTGGCGCTTCGATGTTCTTATAGAAGATTAATTAATATTGATAAGGCGACATCTTTTGAGAATGTATTAATGATACCTGAAAAAAGCACTATCACCTGTAAGCGTTAACAATGCAATTCAAGAAATCTGAGCCTAAATTACAACAAATTGATTTGTTTCAGCTTCCAGCTACCTACCGATCAACTAAAAATGACCCCCCCCCCCAAAAAAAAATCACTATATTATTTTCTTTTTTAAGTTTCATGCTTTGAGGCCTGGGATATTGAAACTATTTCATTTTCTATTTTTGATTTTCGTTATTATCAATCAGGTGGAGCTATTAATTATGTTCAATAAGCTTATTTTTGATATGTAATAAAATTCTGAAAATTAATCTTTTTATTAAACAAACATGTCGAGCTATCCACTAAAAAGAGTTTTGGGCGTCTTTAAAAAAAAATAATAAGCTAGGCCCTATACATTATTGGAAAAATGAAAAATAAAAGCAACTAGAGGCCATCTACAAAAAAAAAGTTGCACTCTCCCGACCGATGAACTAAAAATGTTCCGACTCAAAACTTTGTTTTAATATTCCAGCTGGGACAAGATTTGTTGGGTCTTTTCCCGATAACACATACATGTGTGTTAATAAAGTTTTTAAGAAAAAAATCCCAACTACCTTCCGACCAATAAATTTATTTTACCCTGAGTCGGGAGAGGACTATCAAACATTAGTTGAAAGATGGCCTTTCTATTCAATTCATGTTATATCAGCATATAATAATAATAAATTGCCACTTTAACATTGAAATCATGGATGACGAGTTTTAACTCTGTTCACTCAACACCCCGGCTATGTCTTAAGGTACATCGATACTCTGATAAGAGAGATAACTCTTAATGACATAAATGTCTATTACATACCGTATAAGTAAAAATTTTTGCGAGACGCAAATTTAACGATTTCTACCTAAGAACTGGTATTTTATTTTTAGCGAGAAGTAATTTTAGCGATTTTAAAATGCTGACTAAAGAATCAATAAAAAAAAATAGTTTTTAGGTATATTTGAAAACAAACACACTATGAAAATGTACAAATACAAATGTTTGCCACACAGTTTATTCTTTCAGATCGGCACCCCTTTTTTGTGTACCAAAAATTTTAATTTCGCTACACTAGTAATTTATATTTGATACAATGTATATTCCCAGATGATGAGAAATTCTTCATGTTATGCTTTTCCATTTCATTATGTGTTTTTTTTTATTAATTCAGATAGAAAGTTTTTTTTTCTTTAGTGTGGACGCTAAACAAACAAAAGAAAACAAATTGCCTAGCATGCAATATTGCAAGTCTTGTTCTGTAACTTCGAGATTCCGAGAAAGTGTACATAACATTGTATTAACATCAAAGTACTCAGAAGTACAGAGAGCCGGGCTCATTTACAGAGTAGAATGGATTTCTTACATGAATCACGTTTATATTCTGATGAAAAATTTATTTTAAAACTATCAATATAAATGATAAGACACTGACAGTGAGTTTTTCAATCCTAATACCACGGTCCGATTTTGTCAAAATCAGAATTAATCTGGTACCGCAGCTGAATGTAAACAAACTGGCCAGTCTGGTTCCCTCTCCTGCTTTACCTCGTATGTGTAGAGAACTACGGTAACACTGATTATGAAAAATCCTTACGCTAATGAATTATGAAGTCATTACTACTAATGTTTATTTTATATAGATAAAACTTCGTTTTATTTTTGTTGCTTTATTTAGCGTTTGTATTATCTCAAAAGCGGTTGAGAGTAAGAACTATCACGTATATTTTTGCACGTAACTTGAAAATGGCGACTATGGGGTTAACATCCTGCCTTGAACAGGATCACATAAGCCGGCAATTGCTCTTTGAGCAATAAGCCCGGCTAAAAATGGTTGAGATGCCTTTGAAGAGAGTCCAATTAGAGCCGTAGTATTAAAGGATGTACCTATCTGCATGGCCTCATACAAAAAAAAATTATTATCACTAGTGCTATACAAATTATTTAATCATTGCTTTATACATATATGAATATGTACATTTCAACACAATTTACCTAAATATGAAAAGCCGCGATTGCAGGTAAGCTGATGCCATTACATTTCCATTTTTAATTTTTTCTCTGTGATAACTCTTTGAAAGTTAGTGAAGTTGATTTCTTGATAATTCTACCGGAATGTAAATTAGACAGGTCAATAGCTAAGTTGGCCAAATATGCATGTAAATCTCGTGCGGCTGTCTTTGTATTTGACGTCAGTGGGCAAGGACTTTTGAAAATTGGCATGGGAGTATAAAAAAAATTGTTATTAATAATTTTTGTTTAATGTTATTACTTCTCCAAAAATCATTTCAGAGAGATTCTGCAATTTTCTACTAACTTACAAGTATAAGTACCTTCTTGACACACATTTATACAAGTTTTTATGCCCTAGATTTCAAACAAGAGGCCCATGGGCCATATCATTCACCTGAGTCACATTGGCTTTGTCTGTTTTGTATCCGATTTTTCTCTTTTATACATATGTATTCCTTTGTTTAATTTTAACTTGCCATTTGTGGTCCAATCCTTGAAACAGGAGCCATGATTTGAACAAAGGTTTTAAAGTGATAAGAACTTCAAAGGATGCCCAAAGTGGAAAGTTTTAGTGGGCAACAACTTCATTTCAGCCTACACTGATCGAAACCTGCAGCCGAAGTCCATGCAAGATTTCCTTATCACTTCAAGTGAAACTAGTCTGAGATTTTTAGAGATATAAGACCAAAACGTTGGAGTTTGAGATTACCCAACGTCTAAGCATGCTAGAGATGCTTTATACCAACTTTGGATCAAATTGGCCCAGTGGTTTAATGTTGAAAAGAAGTTGAACATGTAAAAATTTAACAGAATGATGGACAAAGAGTGATTGAAATAAGCTAAACTCATTCAGCAGCATTAATACCATTGCTGCTTTTGATACAGTCTGATTTACTTGATAAAAAAAACCCCAATAAATATAAGATTAAAAAATGTATATTTTAAATATGAAAAAAGTTATCAAAACCCCCCTTATGAAAATGATCCCCCTGGTAAACACGATTTTGTGTGAAATGGGTATGAAAAGATTTTAAGATTTGAGGCAATTTAACCCTGAAGATACCAATTTTATGATGTTTGGGCAAGTTCATTTTTTTGAAAGTAATTTTTTTTGGCTTGTCAAGAAATTTCTGGGATTGAATTTTTTTTTTGACAGGGGTGGACCCCCCTGGAAAAAATTCTGGATGCGCGCCTGAAACTTGAGCTATAAGCTCAGATGAGTTAAAAAAA